CTAAGTAAATTCTCCAGGATCAAGGTTCTGGTCTGTAATGGAACGAGGATTTTAATCCCCTTCTGTTTAACAGCAGAGCTCCGGGTCCTCTTTGCTACCAAACTCCCTTTCTTGGGAGGATGATGTAACTGACCCTGAGTAGTAAGTGTGAAGGATTTCTGGGAGACACGACAAAGGTTATCAACCCTTTATCTATCTCTGTCTTTTGATTCTTATTCCTGTGACATATTTAGGGGCGGGCCACAAGTACAAGCACAACACAGACATTTTTACCTTACCTCTGTGATTTTATTTGACGACAGCTCTAACCTTTGCAGAGAAGAGTTGCCAAGGAAATCAAGTTCTTCACCTCTTAGTGCATGTATTTTATTATTTGATAATAGAAGTTCTTGAAGATTTTCCAGTTGGAGCTGAGTTCCCAATTTAGTAGATGATAAACCATTATGAGATAGATCTAACTTGACTAAATTCTGAAAGGAAAAAAAAATGTATACAGATTAGAGTCTTGCCATCAAAACCCGTTCATCTAATGTATGTGAATCTTAGAAATAACTCAAGAGCAATGTGTCACATATCTATTACTCTAAGAAAACTGACAGTAGGAGTAAGAATAAATCTTGGTTGTGACTGAAAATACTATTATTACAAAGATTTAGTTTCTCACTTCAGTGAATCGCTTTATTTCTCTTACCAAAATACAAGACTTAAGCTTATTTATTTGTGATATAAGGACTATTCATAATAAGCATTTATTTATTTACTTATAATAAGCTTTTATTTATGATGTCATGAATATTCATGTAGCTCATCAAACATAAATGCTTGTCACCATCAGCCTTGAAATTAAAGAACAGATAGAGATAAGAAATGTTTTCTTAGAAAGCACAAGGCGAACCTTGCTGTCCATGAAATCCTAAAAAGATTTTTATGTTGAAAAAGACTGATATTTATATAAATTTTGCATGATGTCTAGTATAGAAAACTAATTTTTGCCTGTTTGTTTTGTCAGTGCGGTGGGATGTTTTATCACTTTGTGCTACTTTTGAACACGTAAACTTCCACTCAGGTAAAACATAAGGAAAAACTGATATATGTTAGGGCAAAATCTTATGTAATGTCTCATAAAGAGAACAACACTTCTATTTAAGTTTTAAAAATAAAAATAACATTTTGCCACTGATTGACTAGATTTTGAAGTCTTTGTGTCTAAAGACACTTCATCCACATCAGAATCTAAGGCACAAGAATTTCAGATCCCTAGCTAGCAAGCAAATCATTTCATGGATGTTTCTAAGTATATTTAAATTTGTATGTTTTTCTTGGTAATTGAGGTTAAGGAATGCTCAATTTTTTATAAGTCCACAAAACGAAGAAAAGAGTTTTGAAAATAGCTTAAAAAAAAGCACTTAATAATTGTCTCAGACTTAGAGACAAAAGCATACATTTTCATAGATTTAAAATTTGAAGTACTGACAAGAAAAAGGTGGTAGCCAGAAGCAATATTATAGACGACTTCTTAAATCAAAAGCAGATCACGTTTAGTTGAACAATTTGCTTTATCGTGCATCAAACTGTTCAGTTAAGTCATAATTCGCACTTCTCTTTTCGTTACTGCAGGTGCTAACTGCAGCACTGAGAGGTTATTTGCTGTTTTCCTCATGGGGTATTCTGATTCTTCTCTGGTCTCTACCTCTTGTTCCTGAGTTCCACTTCCAGTGGGAGGACGCCAGAGAGGAGACTTCTTTAAAATTAAAATTGGAACTGATTTAAGGTGATATTTTCTCTTTTGAAAACGTTTCCACTCATCATGGCCGTATTTGTGTGAGGCCCCCTACCCCCTATTTGGGGAGATCTGGTTTCTTACTCTTCACCTTGATACCTAGATACGAAATCTAAAAGGTGAATAAATGACTGGAAAACAACATTCGATAACGTATTTTTCATTTTTTACATGGAAATGTTTATTTCCATCTTACCTTCAGGTTTTGAAAGGGATTGTTCTGGATTTTCTGGATTGAATTGGACATTAGATGGAGTTCAGCCAAATTCATGCAGAAGAGAAAGGTTTTATCAGAAAGTTGAGACAGCTCATTGTGTTGGAGGTTCAAAATTTCCAACAAAGGCAGACTTTGGCACAATTCTGGCTCCAGCTTTGAGATGGAGTTAAATCCTCCATCCAAGACAATTAGTTGACTGTATCTTGTGAAATTGGCAGGTGGTAATCTTCTGAGTTGATTATGGGTAAGATTCAACACTGTTATGTTTGCCGGGAGGTCATCAGGAATTTGAGTCAACTTCAGGTGACTGCAGTCGGCTACTTGGTGTCTAACAGCACATCTAGAAGATGTACACAGTATCCAGAAGGGGAACAGCCCCAAAAGGGAGTAGATATGATACCGCAAATGCCTGCTCATGACTTTGCCTTATAAAAGGAAAACATAAATGTAATGGACAACATTAATAACACATGCTTTCATATGCATTGGTTTATTCCTTGTAATATACATAACCAAATGTGACTATGTGTGATCTCATTACTCATAACTTTTGTGATATACAAGTATGTATTATGCAAGTAATACATCAAATGGAAATAATTCAAACAGCACAAAGGAGTAACAAATGGAACAAACTCCCTCCTCGCTCTTTACCTTCATCCTCGTTGCAATGTTCCAAGGTAAACCTCTTGACAGCTTCTATTTTTAATTCTTATGGTCACTTCCACAAATCTAAATAATATACTCATGCTTCTATGTCTTCATTTCCTGACTGAATGCCTGTATTTTCTTGCCACTGAAAAGATAAGGAACTTAACTGTACTATTTCCTTATCCTCTTCACATTTTTCTTTCATTTAATCCATTATTACATTTCTAACTTTAAAGACTATACTTAAAATTCTGTCTCTTGACCAACCAACTTTAGGCAAAAATCTCTTGACCACTCACCTTGAGATACAGGAAACGTGCGCCCCTGTATTTTTCTACACACTTCCTCCATCCTTACATTTCCCCAAACCATCAGCTGTCACATTGCTTGACATTGTCAAGATGTGAAATGTTAGCACTTTTATCATGAAACTATGCCTGAGTCTGACATACGTCATCGAGATCAATTCAGAAAATCTCAATCATAAATATCATTTGCAGTTTTAAGATGATATAAATAAACACTCCCAACAAAATCAGGAAGATTTAGAGAAACACAGTGAGCAAGAGGATAAACCCTGGAATTACGCCCTCTGTGTTCTGATCCTGGCTTCTCTGCTTTGTAGTCTCTGGTGAGTTCATTTTTCCTCTTCTTGTAAGTAGAGAAAATCATGGTAGCTCCTTCACAGGTTGTTATGAAGATTAAAGGAGAAAACCTTGCAGTATCCGGGGTAAAGCAGCATTTAACGTCATTACTCTTCCTGTTAATCAGTACAATGATCCCACGACTTATAAATGGATAATTACAACTATTTTATAGTTCACAGATTTTTCACTATAAAGAAAATCTATCCAAAATGAAGATGAATTATATCATAAGACAACCAGAGCTGATTATTAAACAAGAAAGAAAGAGTAGAGGGAGTCAGGCATGTGAAATAATTAAAATTCCAGGAAACTCATGGATGTTTGGAAAGATTCCAGAAGCTCCTTAGTAACTCAACTTTGTGTCAGGTGGGGAGTTACAGCGCAGATTCTGGCGCTGCTTTCAAAGCCAAAAAAGCAATCAGCATCTTCCCTGAACTACAAATGGTCTTATTTAAGGTCTGACTTCTTTTTTTTTTTTTAAGAAGGTCTGACTTCTTTAAAATTGTCTGCTTTTCTCTGCTTCTCAATTTCATTTTAAAGAATAAAAGGGAAGCCCTAGGTTGTGAGGCATCCACGAATCACTTTATCGTATTACTTGTTCTAAAGATTGAAAGCAGTAAGTTTAATCATTTGCTAATACATCATTCACAGCATCCAAAGGCATTTAAAAGTTTTAGTAAGGGAGGCGCTTCAAGATCGCAGAATCACCCTCTCCCACAAATAAAACTTTTAGTAAGAACCTTTTATATATTGTATAATTAAGATAGCTTATGAAATACTACATAAGCTACTTTGATTTTTGTGTAAGTGATTCCTATAAATTAAACATAACCATGTTTGGTGTATTAAATGGGTGATTTGAGAAGCCTTAATGCTTCTATGACTCTCTTAAAAATCAAATGAGTGCTCAGCTGTGTGTTTCTATTTAGCCTCTCTACTCACTTCTACTGAAATATTTGTCAATTCTTATGCCAACACACACCGTTTCAATTATTATAGCTTTAGAGTAAGTTTTGCAGCCAGAAGTGTAAATCGGCTGCTGTCCCTTCGGAGATGGACCTCATTCTTTCAATGAAATGTGTAGCTCTCTAAATAAATTTGCTTTCACTTGAAGAAGAAGGAGGAGGAGGAGGAGGAGAAGAAGGAGAAGAAGAAGGAGAAGAAGAAGTGTGAATCCTTCCACTTTATTAATTCTTTTACTAGATTGCTTTTTCCATTATATGACTGATGGGAATTATCTGAAATTATTTTATTTATTATTTACTTAATTATCCCTCCTCACCAGAACGTAAAGCTGTAATGGTAGAGGCCACACTTGTTCTCATTCTGTGCAGTGTTGCTTCTGCCTAGAAAAAGGACTGGAACACAGCTGGCATCGAATACTTGTATGTTGGAGGATATTTATCCCACGGGCAGTTAATCAGCTCAAGAAAACACTCTTATCTCCATATTATAGTCACAACTTTATTTTGATGGGTTGTGTACCTGATGCAGTCTTCTCTGCTACGATCAAGTTATAAGTTTCCCTTTCAGATATTTAAAAAAATTGAATATATCCTCAGTGCATGGAGATGAATCAGTAATAATGGTAGTTAAATAGACTTTTCCATAAGATCTAAAAGACCAGAAGAATTCCAGGTAAGTTTTAGAGAATAAAATCATTTTAGAAGATTAATTCTAGGGAAGTAGAGCTAGTGTATTTAGAATTGTTCTAATATGCTTTAAAAATTTAATGGTCTCACTTGTATTCTAATTGACTTCTCAGAAACAGAAAAAGAATCAGCTTCCCATCTGATGCCCTTTATAACATTGCCATTAAATATTTTTAAAGCTATACATTTTTCTATGCATAGGCTGTGAGGAACATCATAGGACACACCTTACCAAGTTACTCAAGTGTGTGGCTGGAAATGATTCTGGAAATCAGGACCAGCTCCCCACTCTCCCAAACGTCTCTGCCCAGCACCATAAGGGTACTACCTCTATTTACCAACTCACAGGTACAGTTCCTGCAATCGCTTCCCTCTTTGTTCAGGCGACACTTACCTCTCTCGGAAGGGCTGTAGGTAGAGATCAGAATTACTGAGAAGGACTCAGCCATTTACAAAACACGAAAGGCATGAGAGACATTCCCAGATCTGAAGATACACTGGAGAAGACTCACCAAAGGCCAGACAGGATGAGTGAAAAAGGAAACACACACAGAATCTTACAAAACTTCAGAATTGTGACCATTCACAAGAAAAAAATCCTAAACCCTTCCAAGAGGAACATACGGCCAATTGCTTCGGAAGGAAAGAGACCATAATTGCCATAAAACTTTCCCTCAGGATCATAAGCCACGAGAAAAGAACAGTGATGAGCTTTCAAAACGTTCAGGGGGAATAATTTTGAACCCAAAACTCCATCTCTAGCTGAACAAGTAAAGATAAGAGGAAAAGGTATTTTGAGATACACACAGACTCAGTAAGTTTATCCCCAGGCAACCTGTAGGAAAAAGTTATTCTAGAATGTGCTTCAGTAAAACAAACAAACAGAAAGACAGTGAGAGAATGAGATGAGCATGAAGAGGTGATGCTGCATGAGACAGAACAGAAACAACAAAAGCTAAAAAGAGATGAAAAGTAGACTCAGTGGGGCTTGCAATTTTGAAAAGCCTAGGATCACATTTCTTTGTCCAAGTGAGAGACAATGTTGCATCACGATTGGGACGTGGGGTCTGGAGCCAGGCTGCTTAGAGTTAATCATTATTTACAGTTTGGCTTGTAGAGTTTGGTTTGTAAATTCACAATATTCTGACCCTAAATTTATGCAGACACACCTACATGCAGACATGCACGAACACATAATCGTGTTAGGTCGGGAGGCAAATTCCGGAAACCAGTGCTGCCCAAGGCTGCCCAAGGCTGCCCAAGCCACATTTGCCGGTGATCATTTCTGACCTTCCTACACATCTGAACATCCTTCCACTTCTGATCCTCCTCCGTTTCCCTTTAGGGGGCCAAAGAAAGCCATTTTCTTACTCCCAGGAGCACCCACAGTGTTTTCTACTTTTCAACCTCACCATAAAATGCCAGCTCGCGTCTCCTCTCCAGCCAAGAAAACTGAGAACAGGAGATAAGCGCTTTCAAGTTCACAGGGCTTTGTATCTTTAAGGCAGAGATGTGATTTTTTTTTAAAGGCTGATGCAAAATGATTTCTATTGCTTCCCTAATAAGCTTTTCCAGTCACAGAACACCACAAAGGGAAAGAAAAATAAATACTGCTTGAAGTGTTCTATCATCTTAGTTAGAGACTGTTGCAATTACTCGTCCTCTGAGTCCTCTGAGCTCTGTTCGCTTCTCCCACACCTGGACCATCCCCCTTTCTTCCGCTCTCCTCCTTGAATGATCTGACCTCAAGCACCAGCTCAAAGAAAGACCAAAACGATGCTGAAACCCACAAGGTGCTCTCTAGCTTTACCCACCGTGAGAGATCCCACCCCAATACGAGTTTAAAATATATACCTTTACTTACTCTGACAACAGCTGACCATTCCTTTTTCATTAGCCCAAATCCAATTGTTTCCATCAGGAAGTGTGGCAAGTCTGCTGCAGACTCGAAAGTGAAACTAAAGCTTTAAAAAAAAAAAAAAAGCCTTTTCTAGTTAGTGCATTCTAAGAAGGGCAAAGGGAAAAAAAAACCCCAAATCTTAGCAAGAGATGTTTTACAAATTGCTTCTTAAAAATGTCTTGTTTTTCCTTCTTCAGGTACAGTCCCTTGGGTTTTATTAAAAGGTCCCAGATTGAGCAACAGAGAAAGTTTAAAGAGTAAGATTGCTCGCTTTGACGTGGGCAGGGCTGATCCGCCACAGGTTAATGAATATCTGAGTGTGAATTCCTTTTTTTTTTTTTAAATCAAAGCCTGATGCCTGGCTGTCAGAATCTAGCAGAGTGTGGTTTAGAGGGACAGAAAACACTCAGTCTCTAATCCAAGCAGAGGACTTTCACTTCTCTTAGCTCACTTTACCTTCTTAGCAATCCTGGAAGATAAGTAATGCAGAAATTAACCTTTTGCTCAAAGGAGAGACCAAGTTTTGCAGCAGAGAAAGAGCTGGCCTTGGCAGAGCCAGGAGCCAGGCCTTGTTCACGCCGCTCCACGTGTGACTGCATCACGGACCGAGACACACAGCTCCATTCACCTCGGTGCATCAGACAGATGGCCGCCTGCGCTGTGCTCACCGGTGTCCCTTCACAGCCACCATTCAGAAGGGACATGGTCCTGCTCTGTGTTACCTGAAATTCTAGAAGACCTTCCTTTTTCTTTGTGAAATCTTTGTCTGCAGTAGAGGTACAGGCTCTCTTACCAGTGTCATTTCCATTTCTGCTTATTGGGCTTCGGCTGACTTAAATTAGGTCTGTTGTCACCCAGACAACAAACTCAGCAAGAACTTGACTGAGAGGAAATCACACCGTGCCCTGCCTGCTCTGCTCACTCGCGTCTGCTGGGCAGCACTGAACATGAACTTCCCCTCCGAAAAAGAAGCCAGCCTTTGACACTCAGAGCTTCTACCTTAACTTGAACCTTGATTTATTTATTTACTTGGTAATTTTACCTGGTGATTGAAGAGTGATGATATCTTCCTACCCCTTGTAAATCTGTGAAGTGGGTCTCTGTGAATGGGGTCTTACTCTCCTTCACTGACAGACTCATGATAGGGCGAACGGCTCTTTAAATGCTATACCAAACTGGATATTCATGTACTACTATGAAAAATAAAATTCTAGACCCAACTTCACTATCATCCTACGCTTTAAACATCTTAATAAAATTTGAATGCACTGATGATGCCTGCTGGGCAATGAATGGAGTCAGAAATGTCAGACAAACCCATTAAGCAACCACACTTAGTACGAGAAAGTTCTAAGTACAAAAGCAAGTCATCATCTACGGTTATCAGGCTGAACTCGTCCTTGGTGAGAGTTTAATGCTCCTGCAGGTTGATCTGCATTTCATAATGCAAATTTTGAATCAACACGGAAAATTACAGAGACAGCCCTGTGTTGAAGGGAAAAGGCAAATGCTTTTGAACATGTTTCTTGCTTTTCCTCTAAGAGGAAGCTGTACTTGTATCTGGGATGATTTATAATAAGAATATGAGAACTGGTCCTTAAAAAACAAGAAGTAAAAGTGGAAGGGAGGCGGGGAAGGGGAGGTTTACTACGCTAAAGATTTGGAAATAAAGTACATAAATTGATGACATTCAGAAAGGTGCAATGCAGAGTTTACAGTCTGTATAAAATGTTAAATGTATTCTTTACTTTAACTAGAAATAGGCTTATGTAACAGTTGAAAATACACTTCAGTATCACCAAAAGATATGGTAACATTTCTATCTGTTTAAATTACCGTGTGGCACAGTGGCTTGGAGTGCAAAAGCCGCACAAGGGAAGTAGGTGAATTGTGAAGTTAATCAGCTCCTTAGGAAGAGGGTTGGCAGCCCCCTAGTCAGGGCCTCGAAACTGGTTCAAGATAGCATTTTTTAAAAACTATATTACAATGGACCCCTTGATGCCTTGACATTAGTTTTGAGTTATGTTTTTTAGGGTACTTGAAGGCTCTAAATGACAGAGGAGAAGTCTAGAGCAATTTATCAAGAGACTGGAAAGGAGGAGAAGACGTTTAAGGAGTCTTGATGGCCAGCCCAAACCAGTTCCTCATTTATCCCATATCAGCCAAGAAAACAGGTCTGAAATTTCTGGGGTCTCTAGAAATATCCTATGGTGGAGTTGCCAGTGTGTTAAAATATGAGTTGTATCTTTGTGGTAATAATATCCTGGTGTATTTCTTGGGTCAAGGTGGGAGGAGTTACATTGTTGGAAGGTAGAAATTAATCATTTAGGAAGGTATATATGAAAGTTAATGGTATTTGTTTATAACCAAAGAGAGGGTCTGGCTGTGGTGGTCGTGGTCAGAATGCGGAATGGGAGGTCACGGAGGAAAGCTGGAGAAGGGAGTAAGAGAAGGCACTGGGCAGCGGGAGGCCTCTCTCCAGGGACTCGAGGGGTGAGCTGGTCGTTTTCATTAATTTGTAGAATGTCACAGATAGCAGTGACCTCTGTAAGGTTTCCCTTTAGGCATGAGAGTCCAGGGGTTTTGGCAGAGAGCAGCAAGGTGGGTACCAGGGTCGTGCAGTAAGCAGGCAGTGAGCTCAGGGAGTGTGACAGCATCTCTAGCATCAAAGGAGGAAAAGCAATCAATGTCCTATGTACAATTTGTGGGCAGCTTAAAGAGGCAGCCGTGGCAAAGGTCTGAGAGCCCAGGATGAAGTTATCTCTGACGAAGGGAGCAACGTTATCTTTAGCAGCGAGCTCCTGGGCCAGGGCAGTGCTGTCTGGGATGTGGGACCAGGGTATCCTTCCCGCGTGGATACCCCGTAGATGTTGAAAGCAGGCAATGTTGGGCCTGGGAGCTTGTAAATACCTTTTAAGTCAAGGGACTTTCTGCGTGCACAGCCAGCAAAAGGGATGCTAGCGCTGGTGACTCAGCACTCCTGCTGCCCTAGGGCGGCCCCCACCTGGGCTGGCATCCAGTAACCCAGCTTAGCCAATTAGGATTGCTCATTTTGAGTATTCCCCCGTCCAGGACATTTGCATAAGGAGAGATGTGGCAATCTCTGACAGACGCAGCAGCAAGCAGCGAGCTTCAAGGGCAAGCTCATCGTCAGGCAGTGATGATGCCCTCACTGGCTGTCACAGCAGCTTGGCACCAGGTAGTAAGGCAAGAGCAGTCCCTTCACAAAGCTACTCAGCAGTTGTGGCCATGCCATCCTGCTCATAGCGCCAACTGTTCTGTAAGATTCGAAGGTTCTTTTGATGGTGAAGCAAGACACAATAAAACTCAGATTAAACGCAGCTCCAAACATGAGAAGGTTGACAGGCAGGCCCACACAGGGAGTTGCAAGTGGGGACAGGGTGACAGCGAGCTGGGCCATGGGGGCAATATGTATACGGCCAGCTGGGTGGGCTGAGCCAGTTTTGGGGGGGGCTCCCTGTGGACTGACTAATTTGAATCATTCCCTCAAGACCTGGGGCGCAGGGGCTGTCCCTACTGATTTGGTACCTAACTCCCAGGAGAATTAGGGCAGATGTACGGTAGCTTGCGCGTGGAAGCCGAATAAGGGAAGTGGTTGGGGTGTGGACTTGATCAATTGCTCAAGAACAACTGACCAGACTTTAGCCAGGACCTCAAAGCTGGGCCAAAACAACATTAGAAAACACACAACAGAACAAAACTATATGACAAACTAGGAAGAGAGGAAACTTCCTCAACGGAATATTATGAAAACCCCACGGCTAACATCACACTCAATGATGAAAGACTAAAAGCCTTTCCCTTAGTACCAGGAACAAGACAAGGAAACCCACTCTTGCCACTTCTGTTCAACATGGTATTGTATGAATTTGGACATTCATTTGCTCCCTCTGCAATTCACTTAGCAAGGATATCATGTTTAGCTTTCTTCGAAATTCATTGCAATAAAATTACAATGTTCTTATAATAAAAGTAGATATCTTACTGTATGTGAATTCTAAAATATGATTCCTAACTATTGAAAAAGGCATCTACAGTTATAGAAATAGCTTGAACCTTGGAGTTAATTAAACCTAAATTCAGATCATGACTCCGCCACTTACTAGATTCAAGATCTTTGGCAAAAAATGTTTTCATCTGAGCATGAATTTCCTCCTTTGTCAATTGGAGACAATGTAATGAACTGACAGGATTGCTGTGAGGATTAGGGAAAATTAAAGTAAATGTTCATCACACACAGTGTATTCACTCAATTACAGCTATCATTTTTACTATTAAGAGAAAGCAAGTAATTCTTACACGAAAACTACATAGGCAGTACCTGTGAGTTTTGAACACTCAAAACAAATTGCGTACAACAGCTTGTTAGCACGTAAGAAGAACTGCATCAGATTAACAATGTAGTATTTCTCGAGGAGTAGACACAGATACAGTCTAGGAAAATAGTACCTGATTTGATCTGTAAAATCACCATCTGGTGGCACTCAGATCCCATTACATCCAAGTACCCATATGTCCCAGGGCATGCCACCGGCACATCAAGAGGGGAGACTGGTTAAGGAGATATCATTGACAAAGACTTTACTTAAAGATATTAAGAGACTTAAAAGTTTATGCTTTAAAAATAAGGGTATGCCATTAACGTTATGATAGCAGCAAGTGTTCAATCTTCATTCCAAAAGTTATACCAGTTACAGAATTACAGTCCCACCAAATAGATCTTCAGAGTTCCTGCTTTCAGATAGTCTCAAGGACATTTAAACTTTGACAATCTGATAAATGGAAAATAGTACCTGGCTGTTTCATTGTGTGTTTTAAATGTTATGAGTGAAACTGAGCATTTTTCTAATCTTATTTTTGTTTATTTGTATTTCTTTTTCACTAAAGTGTCTGACTGTCATTTTCCAGTTTTTCTATTGTTTTTACCCTTTTTCTTATTACTTTAAGAAGCTTTCCAATATTAAGGAAATTAACTTTTTGTTATATACGCTTTCATTTTTGCCTGGTTTGTTATTTGCTTTTTCTTTTTTTTTTTTTTGAGTGTTGTTTAGGCCATGAAAAAGTTTAATCTAATTATATTTATCCATTTGTTCAGTGTCTGAACTTTGTTTCTTGCTTAGAAAGACTTTTCCATTCCATCCTCTTTAATGTCATTTCAGGGAACTTGGCTCCTAAATATACTCTCCAAAATGACTAAAACATTATGTTCAAAAACTCACTGTACCAGTAGAGGAGTGAGTGGTCAATAACATTTGCTAACGCAATAAACAGACTACTTGCAGAGTAGTTTAAAAATGAGATGGAGATATACTTACCATTAGAGAAAGATTTTCAAGGTATGTTGTTAAATGATAGAGCCAAATTGTGAAACAATGGATGATATTACTCCATTCGTGTAAGAAGGAAAAAAAAAAGACCTAAACTATCTTTCTTTCATATCCTTAGGAAAGGTCCAGAAAGTTCCATACGACTATGTGAATAGTAGTTACTTCCAGAGAGTGGGGGGTGGGAAAACTCCAGGTATGTGTAGGAAGGAAAAAGGATTTAACTTTCATGGTAAACTCTTCCATGTGCTTTAAACGTTTATCACACCCAGGCTGTTTTTACAATAAAGAATGGATATTAAGGTGCACAGGCTTTGAAGTTACGGCAAGTGCTCTTTGAATCTCCCTGAATCGTGATCTGAAAGACAGGTAGAGCAATTAGCTAGCAAAACGCCAAATCGACAGACCGCATCAAAACCAAAACTAGGTGGCAAAGTGTCACAGGGCGAGGATAAGCGACCAGCAACCATAAGACCAGCAACACATCAGCGTGTGTGTGGAAGAAAGTCGAACGCTGTGGCATTTGACAAACCTAAGTCAGCTTTCAGCTTTTGGATGTGCAAATTTACATCCAGCCAGGTCCCTAAAATTCTCCCTCCTACATAAACCCAGGAATAGTAAAGAAACAAACCTTTCCTTGTTTTCTTGCTGACTTGAAGTTACCAATGACTTTATCCTTAAAGTATGAGAAAAATCAGCTATAAAGTTCTAGAAGGGGCAGATGAGATCTTACAACATTTCCCTGCCGTAATACTTCCACCTACAAAGCTTGCCTCCTTTAGCAATAAAACACACTTTAGTCCTAAATCAAACTATGCTCGGATGCTCTGAAGACCAAAAAAATGCCCCTTCTATCACTCTTTTATGTCCATTCATAGAGAGAGTGTTTCTCTTTTTTTGTTCCAGACTTGAAGGGTTTAATGACCCAGAGCATTACGGAATGGTTGGTTCTTGTACAGAGCAAAATTCTCAGCAGGAAGATAATGAAGCAACTTAAGGCAGTTTAAGGAGTGCTCATGAACAAACCACACGTAACTCGTGAGAACACACCCCCCACCCCACGTTTTGGTTTGTTTTCGAAAAGCTCTTGACAAGACCTAGCAGGAGACACACGAGTCTTAGGAACTGGCTTCTTTGCTCAGCAAGGAGAGAAAGTGACAGGCTTCCCTCGTGTTGAGGCTGCAGATCTGCTGCTCCCTAATCACGCCAGTGGGCCAAGGTTTCTGGAGAAAAGACCGCCATTTGGAAAGCAACTGCTTCTCACACGGCCCATGTGCTGGTGTTGTTTGTTCCTGGTACTACCAGCCACTCACGTGGAGGGCTCACTGTGACATTTGCAAATGTCAAAGGAAGTTATGAAACGCCTCTGCCCTGGCCTCCCAGTCTGGGTGTCTTCCAAGCTTTAAATGATCATCTCAGCCACGCTGCCCTTTTTGCAACAGTAAGTCATTACTTCTGGATACAGTTTTAAACTATTCCAATGGAAATCACAGGAAACAGATAAAGAGGAAGTTGAGCTTTTAGATTTATACTTAGTCATGAATTTAAAGCACTTCTGACAGAAAGGGGCAGCAGAGCACAGCTGTGAAAAGCAGAGTTTCGTAATCAGAAAGATTGAGGTTCACATCACAGTTCTGTTAATGACTACATGTGACCTTGGGTGGCCTCAGTTTCTGCATCTGAGTAATGGTTACAGTGATCTGATCTTAGAGGACTATTGTGAGGAGTAAATGAAACAGTATATGTACACGCCTGGCATAGAGAGTAAATATTCAATTAATGGTCATTACTATTATTAGCATCTTTCAGCAATAATTTTACTTTCCTATTTAATGCCTTTTTAGCAATATGCTTATTACAATGAAATAGCCTTATGACCCTGCATTTTACTTAATGTATTTATTTATTTTCACCAGATATGGTTACATGGGAACGATAAACTCTGTCTCCTTCCTCTCTTCCCTCCCCCTTTTCCTTCCCTCCTTCCTTCCTTCTATCCTTCTAGAATGGCACATAAATTTCTATAGTCTATGACGTAATTGTCAAAAAATCTGATGTTCAGATAACCCATAGAGGTTACATTCGAGGCTATGTTTATTCTCATTGGATGGGGAGCTAGAGCTGTGTCCTGTATCTGAACTTTCGAGTCAGTAATTGGATCACAATTACTGCCTTGCCTTAGGTTGGGGAATTTCCTTGTATTCAATCGAGAAAATTCCTTCGGTGCTCGGAATGCATAATCTGCTTCGGAGCACTTCCCGGGGCTACACAGCAGAAGAGGCTTGCCTTCCCCGTTGCCTGCCGTTATGTCACACTGCCATTCCTTTGGGGTGTGACAGGTGTCAAGGAGCATGTCATTTCAAGATGCAACGCTAGATGGAGCAAAGAGACCAATTTTTTTTTCATTTACATCCTGAAATTCCAAATGCTGGCATAATTAAATTTCGTTTTAAAGCGAGGAGAGTATATAGGCTACTCCGAGATTAGAGTGATTAGACACTTGAGTTTTCTCTTTGTTCCTCCCTTTCCTCTTCTCTGTCTTCTCGTTTTCCTTGCTTGGACCTGCAGCAGCCTTGAGACTTGGGCTCCCTTGCAGCTAGAAGGAGACGGTCCGGGGTAAGTGAAAGACGCACAGGGACGAGCTTCCTGTGTCTGTGGAAACGCAGGGGACTGAGATCCACGTTCGCTTTACATCCACGTGTTGAGCTGCTTATCCTGTAGATTCTGCAAGGCTGGTGTGCTGTGCTTGTGGCCAGCCTCTGCCCTCAGCATCCTTCCCCTCCCCTCACGGGGTCAATCAAGGTCAACGGTGTGCCTCCCTGTCGGTATGACAGCTGTTGCTCCCTCCCATTATTTCCCAGCCTTCCCCGTACATCTCCCCTGTCCTCTACAACTTCATTTCTCTTACCCACAGCCCTGCCTAGAAGAACACAACTTTCCATCAGTTCCCTCCTGTGTGTAATAGACAACCGAATCAGATGACACGACCATCACTCTCCCAGCTCACAGAGCTCATAATTCTTGGTCAAGGCCAGTTTATCCCTTCGTTCTTCTCCCCGTCTGTTCCCTATATTTCACCTCTTGCACAACCTCCTACAAAGTTTATTCTAAATAAGCACTTATTCAGTCCATAAATGCACTGCCAAGTGGACGAATGCCTTGCTCCCTTGACCTCATCCATCTCCAACACTTCCTTTCCTGTTCTCTTCCCCACCCGACCCTCCACCTCCCATTCTATTTACTTGTCCGATCCTTTTAATCGTCCTTTGCCAGTAATTGAATTTAGGGCCCTCGTTCAAATTCCTCCCTTTCGAGTTAATTCATTCGTGTAATCTTTCCTGTTGCTCTCTCATCGCTTTCCTGCTGTGTCATTTTAATTGCCAGTGTTTCGGTATTTTGTTTTTCACATTTATCTCTGGCTACGTGCGTTAGATTTCTGCTCCCCAAAATAGAGGGACTGAGATAGTTATTGAAATGGCAGATCTGGCTTTGCCTTAGCTTGCAAATGAGATTTGAACCTGGGTAGTAAAGTTATAAAAATAACACTGAATTGGTAACTTGGATAGTTGGGGAGGAGCAGGGAAACAGAGGAACAAATTAGCTTTACTTCTTTGGAGAATAGTCCGTGGGTCAACGGTCTGAGATGCAAATAAAAAGACTACAGAGTTGAGACTGCTGCTCACCTCCACCTGGGTAATTGCTGGCCTCCACCAACAGGTAACTGATTTTCTGCAACGAAGAGAAATATTTCTCTACCGGTTTCCCATTATTTATATTAAATGTCGGGAGCAAAGTTTCTCCCAACACATGCCAGTCCATGAAATTAGCCACTGAATATGTTACAAAAGCATATTTACTTCTTTATATTTAAAACTAAGAATGATTGAGATTTTGATAGGTAATTGTATACTTAAGAATTATTCTTTCAAAAGTTGATATGTGTAAAAATAAGTTTTTCCACACCATCAACTGTTTCATAACAATTTACTTTTACTTGAAATAATATGAATGAGTAGATGTTTAGTTGTTAATTAGGAAAAATAGCTAGAAATTTTCTTTTTTTTTTTTTAAAGAATCATCATAAATCTTTAGAAGAATTTCCTTACTTTAGGGGAGTGAGAATGGGATGTACCACAATGTTACAGCAGGGGCCTGGGAATCCGTATGTGCATCAAGAATTATCCATACACTAAATAAATCGTAACTCTTGTAGCTGCATGATTGAGCCACTCAGGAGGCCAGCCCTCTTGCTCTGGGTACCAGGTCCTGCTCCACCAGTCCCTGCCTCACCTACACCCTTGCTCACCTGGCTGACCTTCCCTCTTAATCATCGAGCCTGATCAGTATATGCCTACATCCTCGCCCCCAGCCCCAGCTAGGGAGCCTTCCAATCTTCAGATCAGAACTATCTCCACTGAGATAGTTTATCTAAGGGGCGGTGAGGGACGCGCTCCTCTGCTGGTTTCCACTGTCGATCCCTTTATAACTGGGAACCTCTCTACCCGCCCCCTCCTAAACACACACACACACACACACACACACACACAGTCTGTCAAACCACTGATGCCTCTGTCACTGATTCCGGGCTTTTTCTTTGGTCTTGAGGCTGGACAAGTACTCCGCTTGCAGCCTGCACCGTGCAGCCCAACATGTGTACAAACGTACACAGCAATCTTTACCTACGTAGGCGCTGTTTTACTGAATGAGATGACATTTATTTGAAAGAAATAACAGCTTTGGGTTTTTTTGGTTGTCTTGTCTGGTTTTTGCCTGTTCACGTAGTTTCCCCTGCCGTCCTCACCACAGATCTGTGCTCCGCAGAGGGCGCTGGGGCCCTCGCTTCACGTAGTTGGCTCCATCTCCCTCAGAGCGTGTTCATCGCCCTTCAGAACCGCCTGCTCATTTCCCTGGGTACCTTCTAGGCTTTACAGCAGTCTGCACATCACAGCCAAGAAGCCAGTGATGAGCTGAATGCCGACTGTTCTGTTGGTTCATATAAGCCTGGGAATCCTCAGAAAATAGAAACAAAAGTTGACCAGCTGCTATTCCAAAGCCAGGTCATTTCAGATGCTAAAAATGATTAAAGAAGACAATTTAGCTGATAGAAGCAAACTTGAGCACTTCGTGAAGGGGGCAGTCTCTCTTTCCATGAGTCCAGAGAACTGTAAAATGGAGCAGAAGGCGGGAAGCTTTAATAGGGTAAAGAATAAGAAACATGGAGGAGAAAAACAGAAAATGAATAAGGAACAGGAAGTCAGCATAGAGCCCAGAGCCGCCTTGGTGTTTGGGGCTTGGCCACCTGGATGAACTGTGTTTCTGGAGAAGGGGAGCGTCTACAGGGACAGAGAAGCGTCTATAGGGACAGAGAGGTTATTATCTAAGTTTCGGTTTGCTGATGTGGCTCCTCAGGTGCAAGCGGCTGCATCTTGGGTCTGGAAATTAATTTCAACACAAGTCACGGCTGAAAATAACTCGAGGTGCTGGACTGACCAGGGCTTGACTGGAATTCAGATTGATAAAAAGCTTCGCCTCCCTGTGGCGGATTATGGGTTGGGGGAAATGGATGTGCCCAGTATCTTTTTTTTTTTTTAAAGTTTCCTGCCTCAGTGCCTTGTAGTCAAAAGAAAGGACTTGGTCACCAAGATGACTTCAGGTGTCATTTCATGGTCTCCATTTGCCTCCACAGGATTGTTCATTGACAAAGGAGACATGTAGTCACTGGCTACATTTAACTGTGTGACTGGGCAGCAGAATTACCCACACCGCACTCAGGTGGTAAAGAAAATGTGGCTTCTCAACTTCTCTGTAACTGATCACATCTCACAACGAGTGGCAATCTGCTGGGGTTGGTGGCGGTAGGGCAGGATGGTGAGTTAACCTGATTTTTTAAATTTAAATCCCCCTTCAGTAGATGCTCAGCTTCCAGACTAGCTCTCTCTCCTCCTTCCCACCGGTGCCCGACACCAAGGGAACAGATGCGGCTGTTCGCTCCCCTCCCTCAAAACTCCCCACATCCATCACATCCTCCCAGTAGAGCCGGGCAGGTCTCCAGTCCATGCTCTGCTCGGCACATGGTAACTTCTCTACCACCAAGGTGGAAGCGCTGGGACCCCAGCATCTTTACGTGCTTAAGAGATTCACAAAATTCTTCCCCACCCCTCCCCGACCTTCATCTCTCCATCTCCTTGCCTCTCACTTCCGCTTGCTCACACTTTTTTCTTTCCCATGCTCTTCTCCCCAAAGTCTAGCCTTTGGTCTTACTGTCTTGCTGCCCACAGCAACAGAATTCAAATTCTATTGTCAAAGCATATTGCTGCAAGCAGGAATCCACTTTCCCCTGGAAGCACCCTATCACCCCAAAGGATGGGATGCCCAGGCATTGAGATTTGCCGGAAATGGAAAGATGTCTTCAAGGAAACAGTTGGAAAAAATACACTTCAAAAAACATGGCGCTTATCAGGAACCAGCTCTCCTATGAGGGGCGATGAGCACAAGGAACTTTCTTTCCCCCCTCCTTCCCCTCCGTCATGGCTATCTTCATATTTCGTGTGGGGAAAAATGAGTCTGCAAGGATGCCTAAATTGTCCAGATGATGCAGCTTTAGGAGGCGAAGTCATCGGGAAGAATGGCCATTGGAATGAGAAAACTAATGCAGAAAGCTGATCGTTATCATGAAGTTTGGAACAATTTTATTAACTTGCTGCTCACTTGTCTGTCTGTTCGTCCGTTGCTGGCTCTCCTTTGAAAGATGGAAGCCCGACAAATGAATCACTTGAAGGAGTCCGCCCCCATGCCAAGGCCAGGCTTCTCGGAGGCACCAGAACGTGTCCTCCCTCCCTGCGCGCCCAACAGAGCAAAGCAGGCCTCCTCCTTACTCTCCCACGTGGGCCAGAGTCCCTGCCCCACCCTGGAGGGGTGGGGCTGGGAGGCTGCGTCGTGGTGACCTTGTGACTGACCTTGACTTCGGTCCCTTCCTAGTGAAAGAAAAGGAAAGGCCAAGTGGGGGCTCCTGAGCTGAGCGGCGGGCGATACCAACCGAACTAGGAAGTTAAACACGCAGGCAGCGCCCAAAATTCTTCTCACTAAAACCCAGAACAGTCCCAGGGCCCTGGAACTCACATAACCTTCATTTCTTCTTCACGTAACCCTCCCTCTCTGGCTGTTATTCAAGGGCTTTGAATCCCTTCTCAGGCCTTGAGCCTCCTTTAAGCCGCAGGAAGAGAATGAAAAAAATGCACCCTAAGACCTAGGATTTCTTTTCCCTCCCGTCCTGTTGCCCGGGACGCGGCCTGAACGGCGAGCCGGCCCCGGCCCCGGCCCCGGGAATGCGCGCGCGGCGGCCCGGCGGCGCCCGGCCCTTCCCGACACGGCGCGCTCTCCTACCTGCCCAGGGGCCCGACACGCTTCAGACCCGGCCTTTCCACTTCACTGCGGGCAGAGGGCTGTCACGTACATTTTAATCGCTCCGTGGGCATAAACGGCGCATTGACAGCAAGGGAACGAGGAGGGGATCTGTCACCGTCATCCCAGTCTCCTCGCTGCTCTTGCCTCCGGGCGACGCTCAGAAAGTCGAATGTAAATGTTGTGCCTGTGACTCTAAGTAGTTTTCCATGGAAAGACGCGTCATTTGCTTTTATTTAATTCCCAGAGGGTCTGCTGATTTCTTCCCCCAGTGTTTACTGAGGGTCAGCTGTCTGCTGGGCACTGTGGTTTCCAGTGAGCCCACAGCAAAGGGCTAAGGGACAGGGTCCCTGCATGAGTGGAACTTATAAATGAATGGGGTAGAGGCAGACATTGAGCAAATAAAAACAAACAGATTTCCATGTGTATTTTTCTTTTCATTCTGAGGGGTCTGGCACTAGAAGGAAATAAAAAGGGTGATGGAAATATATCTAGCTGGGTGGAAGGTGCAGTAAATATTATGGACTGGCTCTTATGACTCCTATTCCAACCCACTCAGAGAATCCCTTCCTGAGCTATGGCTAGCATGCACATTTGAATTGCAGAAGCAGAAAAGCCAAAAAATTAATAATTCGAACAACAATCCCCAGACTCCCTCATCACTAGGGTCTGACTGAGGCTCCACAGAGGAAACAGGAGGTGCCAGGCAGTGGTCACTTGGGAGGAGGTGGGTTTTGTAGCCAGCCTGGTGGCAGAAGCATTGGATTCACCCAGATTGCTCTTTGCCTGATCTCCACGCTGTAGATGTGGAGATGCAGGTGGTGGCAGCGAGATTAGCACAGACACATCTGTGCTGTGTCCTTTCTCTCAGCTGCTGCTCCTGACAGCAGAGCTCCCGACAGCCTTGGCACCTGAGACATCCCCACCTCTTTCCCCAGCGGAACTACCCCAAGGCAATTCCTCCCATTTTAAAAACCGAGTTATAATTAAATGCAATATTATATTAGTTTCTAGTGTACAGCATAATGACTCGGTATTTTTATACGTTATGAAATGATTGCCTCAATGTCTAATTACCATCTATCACCACGCAAAGTTGTGCTCATATTGTTGGCCATGTTCCCTGTGCTGTACATTACATCCCCGTGGCTTAATTCTTTTATAGGTGGATGTTTGTACCTCTTCATCCCCGTCACCTATTGCGCCCATCCCCCCGCTCTGCCCCAGCAACCGCCCATTTGTTCTCTGAATTTATGAGTCTGTTTCTGTTTTGTTTTCTGTATTTGTTTGTTTTTTAATTCCACATATAAGCGAAAGAAATCATACAGCATTTGTTTCTCTCTGTCTGACTTATTTCACTTAGCATAGTACCTCCAGGTTCATTCATGTTGCTGCAAGTGGCAAGACTTACCACTCAATGTTAAAAAACAACCCAACTAAAAATGGGCAGAGGACCCAAACAAACTTTTCTCCAAAAAACACATACACATGGCCAGCAAGCACATGAGAAGTGATGCTCAACATTACTAATCATTAGGGAAATGTGCAACAAAACCATAATGAGATATCATCTCACACCTGTCAGAATGGCACTCATCAGAAAGAGAAGAAATCAGTGTTGGTGCGGATGTGGAGAAGAGCGCCCCCTCGTGCACTGTTGGTGGGAATGCAAATAGGCACAGCCACTACGGAAAACCAGTATGAGGGTCCCTCAAAAAACTAAAAATAGAATTACTATATGATCTAGCGAGTTCACTCTTGGGTATTTATTCAAAGAAAACAAAAGCACTAATTTGAAATGTTCATTCCAGGATTATATACAAGAGCCAGGATATGGAAGTAACCCAAGAACCCATTGACAGATGAATGAATAAAGTAGGTATGGAATATTACTTGGCCATAAAAAGAACATCCCTTCATTTTGTAGCCAGTGCAGGACTCTGCACCTGAGCATTTTCCAGCCCCTCCCCAGGGGCAGCAGATCTGCCTCAGCTCCTCCCCAAGAAGCAGAGCCTGTGTCAGGGACTGTTTCTTTCCTGTCCTGCCCCAGATCCTTCTCACATGTGCACAGCGGGAAAATGATGGGGAAGAGACGTGAGTGCACCATCTCCCTGTGTCTAAGGCTCCCAGGTGTTCTACATTCTCTCACTAGCCTGCCCTTGGCTTCTAAGACTTTGTGAAGATGTTAGCTGTTTTCTTCCAACTTGCTCTCACAGCAGCTCATCCTCCTCCCGTGCTCTGCCAAAGCTGAGACTTGTCACCCCTTTTCCCTCTGTGGGCTTGTCACTCTTCAGAGCTGAGTTCGCTTGGTTGCCTGACAACCTCAGCTTTCTGACGTGCTCAAGAAAATTTATGATTTTGTAGATTATCTGGCCTTTTCTCATCGCTAAAGTGGGGGTGACATCTTCTTGAAGCTACCCATGTCCTATGTGGACACAGAATTCTCTACTTCTGTTTAGAGGCCCAGCATTGGGGGTCTGGTGTACACGTCCCCCTCTGGCACATGATCAAGGTACTAGTGCTGCTAAAAGCTTCCGATGCGCAGCGTTTGTTAATTTACCACGCATTTATTAAGCACCAACTGCACATCACCATAGGCAGGGCTGAGGCTGCAAAGAGGAATAAGGCACAGTCTTTGTCCTGAAGTTCCACACAACCCAGAGGGAGCAAAGGCACATAAACAGCCACTGGAAAGGCGAGTGCTGAATGCCATAATAGGAGTGGAACGAAGCTCTACGGGAACACGGGCCCGAGGAAGCAGGACGCAGGGGAATGAGGACTTTTAATTATTTGAGTTACTGCTGAAATTCTGAGCAAGAGTTTTCCAGACGGAGAAGGTGAGCTGACAACCACAGAAACGTGTTCCTTTTCTGTGGATGTCTCCTTCACAAATAAGAATTCCATTTCCTGGCAGGGTTAGCCCTGATCCGAATTCTCTTTCTGAGGTCTAGTAGGTCATCCCCGTCTCAGCTGCAGTCCACGCTGTGCCCGAGTCCTCCCGGTGGACTCAGCATGTCTGCGTGGGCAGCAAGGTCCAGGTCGCCCCGACTAGTAACAGGGAATCTGGTAGATGGTTTTTGCTTAAAACCAGTATATATATATATATATATATATATATATATATATATATATATATATATATGTATATAAATGTATGTATATATATATTTTTTTCAAAAGCAGAAGTTTGAAGCCAATATCTAGGATGCTATCTGTCACACTTGCCCTCTTTATATTTTTCAGAACTCCTAGATTGGTTGTACCCCAGGTGGTGGATGTCTGGCTATTGGTTTTTTGGGACCACTGGGAGGAGGTGTCAGCATGGCTCTGAACAGAAAAGTGATGCCAGGCGGTTGCCAAAGCTCTCCTTTTTGGGCCTCTCTGAGCCCAGGACAATACATCAGTGCCCAGACAGGACTCGTGGAGCCAAGCAGGGACTGGCTAGAGTCAGGTGCCCGTGGAGAGCGTGTGATGCAGGCCAGCGTGATGCAGAATATTAGCAGAGCAGAAGATGTCAACTCCCAGGCACTTGAGCACAGCGATCAGTCTGTGGACAAATCCAAGACCAGAAACTGGTGACAGAGACAAGGACAGGAAGCTAGGCTCCAAGGTGGCCTCGGAAGGTGGGTGAGCAGGTGGGCAGAGTCTGTCTGAAGGCCTCCAGACTCAGCCCCCTGTTTTGTCTCCACCGGCATGTGCGCATGGTTTCTGAAAGCCACGCGCAGCAGAGACCCCCAGGCCATGCGTCCCCAGGGAGGAGAGCAGAGAGCAGACAAAGCACCGCCCATGGGCACGAGTCCCCAGGCTCGCCAGGCTGCCGGATGAGCTTTAAAACATTCAACTTGATGACGAGACACGCTGAAAAGTAACTTTCAAAAATGAATAGTGAGGCATAAACGTTATGATTCTAAGAAATAGAGAAATTCTTTGGCGTTTGAAAAATTTCTTTTCTTTAACTACTGAGTAATGACACAAGCTGGAGAGAGAGAGTATCAGACTGTAGAAGGAGATGAAAAATTGATGTAGAAAACTCTGCACTCTGGCAATGCACACACCGCCGGTCCTCGCTCCCGGGCATTTAAGGTTCCACCTGGCGGGGTGAGCTGAGCCCCACAGAGTGAAAATTAATTCCACGTGCAAATCAAACAGCTGGTTTGTTCTTGGCTGTTCAAAATCCCTTTGATCTCTTTTTCCGTGATTTTGAACTTTCAAGGAAGCATGAAGTGAAGTAAAATAGTTGTCACATTTGTCAGACACGATCTTAAGTATCTTAAGGGTCATTATAAAAGAACCCCCCAAATTAAGTAATTGTTCCCCATGTTAGAAATGTTTCTTCATACCCCATCTTCCCAGCACAGTGCATGAGAATATATGTTTCCTCTTGTTTTGTATTTGAATTTTCACTGAGAATGTTTTTCTGGTTGAGGCAGAAAAAAAAAATTACCACCACATTATATAATTTGAACCCAAG